CTGCAGTGTACAACACTACGATAATATTATTATAATAATACAATAAATAATATATTATACACATACACGCGAAATTATAATATAACAAACACGAATAACGTTTTCTTATAGTGGCATTCAATGCTAATTTAATTAAAAATGTTTAACAAGATGCACAATTGCATCATTATTATATACCTACAATCGAATCGGATGTACAATCGCATTCTCGGGCAACAGTTCAATCCGATGGGAATAGTATAATAAAATATAATAATATAACATTGTGTGTATATTATCTGCAGCAACGCGAGAGTGCGTGTTTGTATATTTCTGGGCGCGAGTGTTATTATAATTCTTATGAATAATTATAGAAATGTGAAAAGAAACACGTACCTCAGAGTATGTTATATACTCCGATATTAAACCTACTAATTTAGATCAGAAACCCGACAACATTTTCGGTAAGACGTGTATTTTACGACTGCGATCTTAAAAAAAAACTCCACATTACACTTTTTAATATCCTATAGAATCCTGCAGTGTAATATAATATTAGTTAATCGATCTTATTTTCATAAGCATTTAATTCGTTAATCAGAGCTCATTTTTTTTTTTTTTTTTTTTTTTATTTCGCCCCCAATTTTATATTTGGCTGTAACTACTTACATATAATATAATATTATTATGTACGAGCGAAAACAGAGATAATCACGAGCGTAAAATGTATCCATTTTATTCAATTAAAACTGGCGACGATCTAATCAGTGTTTGTAATTGGATTGGATGTGTATTAGATTTTATTATTTTTTTTTTATAACCACACCGTCCAAAGCGCATACTCGTATAATATAAACTAAAATATATATGATATGATGATAATAATAATAATATATTCGTATAAATGTATAATATGGATGGGTTCAAAAGTTAATCGCAACCACGGAGGACGAGATCCAATTGGTCGTATAGTACCTACGTCCTACCTACAGGTATAATATCATATCGTTTACTGACCCGTGATGGTCGTTAATCGAAATTTACGTGATTATTATAATTTTTCACAATATATTTTTTTTTTTTGGCTAGAGATCGACCGTTATAGTTCCTTCTCGAAACATTTACGCGTGTTACAGTCGTGTCGAGAGCGTTTCCTCCTTTCGACGTATATACACACACACGACTTTACGCGAGACGTTTATATATGATGACAATATGTGCGAGCGCGTTCACGCGCGTGTGTGTGTGTGTGTGTGTGTAAGTACGACGTGTATCGGATAATAATAAAAATAAAAAATAAATCGAGCCGGGTCCGGAGCTGCAGGAACGTTGCCAGGCGCGTGCAGAGCGCATTCCTAAACGGAGGCGCATAATAATATGTGCAACAGTGCAGCGGCCGCAGCATCCTCGCCCATCGGTGCGGTAACTGGACCGGCGGCGGTAAGTGCATTTGCATGTCGTTGCACCGCTGCTGCATGCGGCCGGCGACGAAGGTATACAGGCGGAAGGGGTTGACGGCGCGATTATTATTATTATTACCATCGCCACAATATATATATATATGTATGTATGTATGCATAATAATATAATACGTTGACGTGCCCCAGTTCGGTGTTTACTATATCTATATATATATACACGACACGAGTACCTATATACCGCGGCGAGCTCAATGCCAACGGACGTTTATCCGCGTTGTACTCGGTGGACGTTTATCCGCGGGCCGCAGCTTTCCACAGCAACAGCTGCAACGTCGAGTTGGAATTCCGTTTTCTCATTTTATAATTACTACGACATTTGCGGTCGAATCAAAACACCGAGAACCAGGAAGATTCGATATCATATAATATATATTATCTATCGTTGTAAATCTTCGTCGAATCCTCCGTACTGCCGCTGTATGTACGCGAATCGAAATATCGCTATCACATATTCTGTGAAATATTTCGATTTTTTACGCAAACTTATCGAAAATTCACTATTGAAGTAGGTATAGGTGATATTCGACGATGCGCACTGGACTACATGCTTTGTCAGCTGCACATTGACGACAACTTTAAACATGACGTTAAACCGATATCATTATATTATATAATCTATAGTTGACGGCCTCGGCGGTGCTGTACATAGTATTTATTTATGTTTCTATGTTTATATACATATTGATGCTTCCGAAGGTTTTGAAGAGTAACCGACAAATAACACACACGATGAGCATAACATATAATAATATAATACATGTAACAACATATTGCTGTATACCTATATATCGTCCATTTGTCGTCACTATGCAGTAGCAGAATGACCAGTTAATGATACATAAAATATGTAAAAATGCGTCCGAGATAACGGAAATTTACGCGATTTTTAATCTAAACATTTCCAGTCGATTGTAAAGGACACTCGTTGCAGGGAAAATCGTATTTGTGTATAAGTACCAATAATACTGAGTGGAAATGTTAACGTCATTGTCGCAAGGCGCTTATTAATACATTTAAAAAGAAAATCGTAGTTGGTTTTTCATTTTATGCGGTAAAAAATGATGCAAAACTGCCCGCCGTTTTACACTTCGTTCGGACGAATATCGTATAGATATTATTATACACGGCTGAGGGGAATATAGTTTATATTTTGCTAATAAACCGCGAGTGAACTCGAGTACCTACCTATATATTATTATATATAATAATAATATTATCGTGGAGGATCTTCGCGTGGTTTCACGAACCGGCATGCCCGGTTGATATTATTATATTATACGCGTGTGCGTATTCGAATTGCTCGGGGGCAACCTAGTTTCGCGCGGGTACACTGCTGCTGCAGCAGGAGCAGGAGCAGCATCGGCATCTCCCACCCACCCACATCCGTACATAATATATACAATGTGTATTATAATATTTTATATTGGGAGCCAATTGGTACGCGAGCGCCCGTTTGTGTGTGTGTGTGCGTGTAATATACATATTATTATTATAATTCGTGTGTAATATATCGTATACGCATGTGTATTTGCGTGAAATAATATATACATGTACCGGGTCTGCCTCCGACCCGAACTTGCCACACGAATAATATAATATACGATTCGTTCGTGCCGCACCGGCAGCAGCATCGCCGGCTGCAATTACCGCGCGCGCGTTCATTAACATACCGAAACACACTGCTGCAATCGGGTCCGTTCGCCTATATACATAGGTACAGTCGTCGTCGTCGGCGGCGGCGGCTCAGTCGTCGGCGAAATATCAAACGGGGATGAGCATGTATATAGCGTAAATCATAGACGTGTAATAATAATTAGCTTATTAAAATTCAGACGTTACGTTTTAACCGTGAGCATATAATATATATACACATACACAGACATATATGACTTTTATGCAGCGCTTATTATTATTATTGCGCATATATCATATTATACATATGCGTATTATACATACATAATATTATGTGGTGTGCACGCGATATCATATTATTATAGTACACGACTGGCGTACAAGACTCTCTGGGCAAAACCGCGCGTCTTGTGTGCTGCACAGTCCGTCACGCGTAAAAACCGTATTATATATATATATTATGTGTATGTATATTATAGGTATCTCGAGATGAACCTAAAAAACGGTTTGTACATGGTACGGCGTATACACTGCAATACGTATAATAACGATTATACTGGTTTGACACTGTTTGTGGTGTAATATTTCACGAGCCCGTTAACGCAACACGATGCCGGTCTCGGCGAGCCCGCGCCCGTTCGTAGTCATATAATAATAATAATAATAATAATAATACATATTAAGTATGTGTTACATTTAATGTGTCATACAAAAGATTAATATTTCGTTGCGTTTTCAATTTTTCGGCCGTAATTTTCGCATCAGAATAATTATAATACCTTTTCACAAGTCTATCAGCCAAAAAAGGACGACGAAAGTGTACAGTTCGATACCTATTTCATAAGTACCTACAAACATTTATCGTATTTTAACTTCTGGGAATAACATACAAAATATGCTTGCTTATATTATGTTATGGGTGTACTCAATTTTTAGATATTACCTATACAGACGTTCCTCACAATCGTCACAAATAAATATAACGCGTTGCAACGGTTATATAATTATTAGTAACAACGTATCTATTACATTCAAGAAAAAAATAAAATTTATCAAAAATATAATAATGTGTAGGCATTATAAGACACTTACATATACATATACATGAATACCTATTTATAGCTATAATATTGTCTCGGTGCTTATTTACTTATAATATATTTTGAAGTGACACACATTTTTTTAGGAACTTAAGAAGAAAATATATTCTTTAATATAATATAGGTCGTGTTTTTTTGTATAAGCGAACAATAAAGTTATGAACTTAGAGAGTGTGTAATGTGTAATAATATGTTTTGTACTTATATCGTATTAAATTATGAAAAAAAAAACAATACGAGCAGTAAATAAATAATCATAATATGTTATGGGTAACAACCGATATTGAATCGGTAACCGTTTTTCCAAACGATAATGTGAAAAATAAGTATCACCCTAATTTTATTATTATGATAAACGGGAGGAAGAAACTAGCCGTAACGATTCGTTACGGTCCCGTAGAAACTTGGGTGTACTTACCTAAATGTATACCTACGCGCATGTAGCTATCTGTTACAATATGATAAGTTCAGTTTGGGCAACGAGGTGTAAAGCAGTTACGATGGTGGAGAAAATAATAAAAACAACTAGGATACGATCGCGTAGTGTTTTGGAAATGTATTTATATAATACGCTAATATAACGTGTGACCGATGAGCCCCCGAGGTTATTGATAATATTTTAATAACAGCATTATGATAATGACTGCGGGAGGACCATAATTTTAACGTTAATTCTTTTAGCCTGCAGTATTCTATATAATATTGTATACTGTATAGGTATAAAATACTGTGTATTATGTAGGTACGTAACGTATAGTATACTATACCTACATAAAATCGATTTTATGTTTTTGTGTGTTTTGCATACCTGATTAGTAGATCATCTACAGACCGCCGTGGTCTGAGGCTGTGTCTTCGCAGCAACCTCCGAGGAGCAGGAATAAAAATTCGAAATATCTGCGTTTATCTGCAATCATAAACATAAAAATCAAGTGGTGGCCATATAAATACGAACGCGCAGTATATATTAAGAGATTAAACCACTATAGTTAAGCAAAATTATAATACCAGCTAATCAAATAATTGAAAATCTATAGATAGGTATATAGTATTAAAATTACTTATGTTACGTCGTCGTGGGAATGTCATACCTGGTATGCTATTATACTAACTAGAGACAAAAATTATATACACTAAAAATGTGTTAACTATCGATGTATGATGCAAAAAATACAATGAAAATTAATAAATATTAATCTTTTCAATGTTGTGCCTACATATATTATTTTAATCATGTTACCTATATAATAAAATTAAATACTAAAAATAATTAGAAAACTTAAATTAAATAACAATTATCTGTGGGTATTTCTCTTTTGCTTTTGATAAATTTTGGATTTACAGTGTAAGTACAAGATGCACATCTATTCCATTTAACACTAACATACGTTTGATACAATTCGAGTACCTATATATTATGATATTTGTTGGAAATTTAAAGAAATTAACTTTTATTTTATGATAATGATTTGTCATCGTAAACAGTTAATTATTCAGAAATATTTACTAATTAACATAATAACACATAATATTATAATGTACAAAGTTTACGCACTAATGATCAAATTGAACCTATCCACCCAAGTATGCTTATTTTATTATGACGTTAAAATCAAATATATTGTGCTTACGATTCTATGAAATCAGTTAGATTTGAAATGTTGACATCTCAAATCTGAAACCGTCGTTATTGGCATCATTGGCATAATATGTAATATTTACAATTGATGCATGTAATTCTCGAGGTCTTTATCGTTATAATAATATACTGTCTACCTAGTTCTAGTATCCATCTATAGTTCAACATTATGGTATATTATTATATTATGCTATACAGCAACACGAATTATTATTGTATACACATTTACAGTATACACACACACTCACATCAATCTATAATATATATATATATGTGTTATGTTTATGTATGTACGGATATTGTACAGACATTCGCAAAACTATACGGCGCTATCGCTCGAAGTTTCGCCGATGGCACAACGCTGATTAGTAAACGTATAATGAGAGTATATGCTCTCTTATATATTATTATTATTATTATTATTATATTGATACACGTATATTGATTTGTGACCCGATTCGGTGGCCGGTGTTATGACAAAAGGAATGTGTTCGCCACGCGCAAATCGACCGGGTCGAAAGTGGATCCGACGACGCGTAACGGCGGAGATAATATTATCGTTTTTAATTAGATTAAAAAGAAAAAATAATGGCGATAAAAGAATAAAAAAATAAAATCGCTGGCAAAACAATAATAATAGCGATCGATAATAATAATAAGATCGGTGAAACCGTTCGATATAATGTACGCTTGCACATGCGCGCGAACGCGCGCGCGTGTGTGTGTGTGTGTCGTCTCTCGGAGAATCTGCTTTCGCCGCACGCGCGTCGTTATAATTCGCTTGACCGTTTAATCGATCCAATTTTGGACACTGCTACGGCGACGACGACGGCGAAGAATTTCACTTTGCATAGAAAGTAGATGTTAAAAAATAATCAAACAAAAATTGGATTGACGGAACGTCGGTGGGTTCGACGGCGTGGCGATACGGTAATCTTAAAATAATTATAATTTTTTAAAAATATTTCTCACGTGGGTATATTATTATTATTATTATAATGTAGACTGCAGTGGACGAGTGTGTAACACACGAGATCGTCGACGCAGCGTCCGCGGTGTGTATCACATAGTATTATGTATAATATAATATAACGATATTATTATACAAACCGGCAGCAGAGACAATCGCGCACTTCAGTCGCAGTCGTCGGAGATATTATTAATGAACACGTTCGATGACCGCGGAGACGACGAAGAACGCAGAGACGACGTATTAATTGGTTATTAACGCCGCGCGTCGTAACAGCGGCGGATGACGTTTCGGTGGCATAGTTTTATAATTTTTTTTTTTTTTCACAATATCTCGGTTATTATTATTATTGTCATTAACGCGATTCGCGTTACCTATGTATATTACATTATTATTCTTGTCGTGAGAAGAAAACGTCCGAGGCGGCGACATTAATATTACAACGTCAACACGTCGCCGCCCGTCGAGATAGTGCAGCCACTATAATTATATATGATACGCGCTAGTACGCGTATAATCTTACGATGTGTGTATACTCTCAATACATATTTGTATATACATGTATATATTGTTAAAAATGTTTACTTAAATGATACGAATCAGACATCTCTAAAATCGTATATAATATATACACGCGACAAAACTTTTTGGATTTTTGACTGGCGTCGTCGACGATATACGAACATACGATAATACATATTGCATTCGTACATCCATATGATATTAAATTAAAATAACTAGAACTGGTTTTTAGAAAAAATCCGTTTTTCTCGTCTCGGGCAAGACGACGGCGAAATACGTGTCTTAAAAAGCTATTGAGCTCTCGGTTATGATAGAACACACATGTACCTACAACTGATGGCATTTCATAATAAAACGAAGACTCACCAATGTGTTTTTTGAAATATAATGGTTGTACGGTTTTTTTTTTTTTTTGCTAGTGCCGTATTGTAGTGAGTAGTTGCAAATAACTGAGCTTTATATACACATTATATATGACTACCTATTATACTCGTAAAGATTGTATTGTAATGAATTTAATAGATAGGAATAGATTTTACGTATTTTTCCTATCTTATGCGAATCTAGTGATATATTATAAATATATTCATCTTTGACCTATGGACCAATTTTTCACTGATTTTCCACTCCAGCTCTTATTCTCGAGCTATAATATCATAAAAATGTGGCACATAATTACGAAGGTATTACACAGAGCAAACCGATATAGTTAATAATTACAATTAGATTTGCATTTCCACTAGTGTTGCCATACGATACAGTTGCTTGTCTAAAATATTACAGCGAACCTCCATTCTAGGTTTAAAGTATAAGACGTGTAACGTGTGTCTTAATTATAATTTATAAAAGTATTTTGTATTGGAGCGTAGGTAAATATGGTTTATATACACCCGTATCAATATATTATTAAAATAGTCGATTCTTGATTATTCACATAAGTTTTATAGGACAACTTACTGTTTATAGTAGTGCGAGATCACTTCAATATATGTGTACGTATGCACCTATATAATATAATATAAAGTCACCAAACCAACGGATAACGTCATAACCGTCAAGTGTAACAGTAAAAGTGTCTTACAAATTTCATTTGGACCCTTAGTCAGAAGACTTGTTCGTGTCAATATATAATAGTACCTTCCTATAAAATATATCTAATAGTCGAGGTTTGCAGGTATACATGATATCTATGTAGAATATGCCGCCCTGTCGTCGAATGCAATGCAACACGCTGCAGACTTACCACGGCTTAATTACATTCGCACTGGGTGGCGGTCGGCGAAAGATCGGTAGGTAGGTATATAAGAATTAACATTTTTTTTTTTTTTTTTATTAAAAAAACCACCGCCGCCGCCGCCGCCGCCGCCGCCGCTACCGCTGCGTAAATCTTCAATCGCGCTATCGTATTTCTCGTAATCCAATACCACGCACGTTATATGGGTCACGAAATAAAATATATTATGTTATATACCTACACCGAAATCCGCATAATAACACGTTTCGTATACACATATTATATTATTATTATAATACACATATAGCATGGTATACCTACGACGAGCGATCCACCGCGGATGCTAATGTATTTTTCCATTACTCGCTCGCGCCCGTGATCCGAATATGCGTGTGTCTGTGCTCGCGCGTGAATGTTAACCGTTCGTGTCCGCGTACGTGATCCAATATAATATATAATACGAATTCGCTGCCGTTGCCGCTGCTCATTACATTATACGCATCATACATCTTATGTTATATGCTATCGGTCGCCACGCGGTAGTAAAAAAATAATAATAAATAAATAAAATAAAAAATGCCAGCAGTACAGGTATACCTATATACCTGATATAATAACGTGCGTGATGCAGCAGGCCAGTATATATAATATGTACGCGTACGACTTAAAGCTAATTGATGTTGACGGGGCCCCATCGGGTCTCATTAATATTTTTTTTCTAGTGGTTAGATTTATTGGCGTAAAACGGACTGGTCGAGCCTAATCGACCAGCGCCGTAAACATTATAAGTATATCCTGTATATGTGTACCTATGTGTATAGTATATACCTAATAAAATATTTTGTCGCAAAACCGTATTATTATAGCCCTGCACAATGTGTATAATCACAATTAATAACTATACCATGTATATGATGCACACCAAACATCCGTGGTCTACGATTCACGTATTCTCTCTACAGTCAACGATACTATATACGCGGTCAATAGTTATACGCTATATTATAATATATGGTATGGTGGTCAGAAAATCAATTCCACCCGAAGACCGCAACGTGGAAGGTCTTGCAATGCATGGTAAATATAAAATACATATATATATATATATATAGAGGTACAGTGTACTTATGAGTGGCGTGTATATGTAGCTGAACCCATATGCTATTGTATATTAAACAAAAATTTTAACGTCTGGTATCGCGAAGACTGTAACGAAACAATAATATAATCTTCGGCGTGTATAGGCATATGCGATTATAGTGATGAGCACAATAATTGATCGATAATGATATAAACCTATGCATCTATATGCAGGTACCTTTACGATATGGTATATGGGTATAGGTTTTGTATATATAATTGTATCACTGTAGTATTATATAATATATATATATAGGTGTAGGTATCGCTTAAAAGTAAACGTTTTCAAATAGATTACCTATATACATATTATGTGTATATATAAATATATTGGTACTTCAATCGAAAACGGACGACTTTCTTTAAAACACAACTGCAGGCAGAATATATATATAAATAGGT